TTTGTGTTGCTCTCTGAGCTGCCATTTGGAGCAGCCTAAGATTGAAGCTGTTTCATGTAAGACTCAGTTTCCCTTCTCACCAGAGTGAGTGGGAGAGGTTAGGTAGTACTGTTAGTTGGCATTTTGTCCACTGAGACCAGTTCAGTGCCCTCCCAGGGTACAGCTTCTGCAAAGTTCTTGGGGGCATTCTAGCAGGTCTAGTCAGGCCTCAGTGGCTTTGTTGGGTTTGGCCTTCTTTGGAGAGATTAGATCTATCCACCCGCAGGGCTAGACAGTGGCTGATCTCTGATATGGGTCCAATTCTCAGGAGCCCTATACTGATCATCCATTCACTGCTGCCCATGAGCACAGCCTTCCTGGGCTTAGTCCCCAGGTGTATTCACTCACACCAGCTTAGGCTCCTGGCTCTCTTCAGCTGCTCATGTGAGCCACTACCACAAAGGAGAAGCTAGTCGGGCTCCCCTTCACCCTACACACTTGAATCCCACTGGGTACAGACTGTTCCTATGTTCAGCCGGGCACACCCTAGGTCACCCATTTGGTGCCTGCCAGGATATTGTGGCAGAATTTGCTCTGATCTCGTGCCTCCAGGAGGGAGCTGTCCTTATAGTGAGATTGCCTCAAAGTGGCTCCACCCCAGCTCTCTCTGACCAGTTGAGATACCGAATATGCTTTTCAAGCACCACTGTATGGTACAGTCTCTGGATTAGCTAAATTTAAACAGATTTTTAAAAAAATTTTTAATTTTTTTTTTAGTTGTAGATCGACACAGTACCTTTATTTTTTCTATTTATTTTTATGTGGTGCATAGAATCGAACCCAGCCCCTCATGCATGCCTCACACATGCTAGGCAAGCTCTCTACCACTGAGCTAAAACCGCAGCCCCTTGGCAGCTTTCTTTTGATCTTAGCTTTTTCCTTACCAAATCTCTCTTCTCCCCTTCCCTCTGTGGTGAGTCGATGCTGCCATTGCCACTTTTCCATGCTGGGGTAGCCAGGTCAGCTCCAATGTAGGTTTCTTTCTTCTTTGTTTTTTTGTACTCAAATTCCTGAGTCTGTAAGCCACTTTGAATGTCCAAAATTGAATTTTAGTTCAATCCCTATTTTACCCACCTCACCCAGAAGCTATACACCTACTGCTTTGGTCCTAAGCCACTGCACATCTTGGAATGAGGCTGTCCTCTACTCCACAATCTTCCTTGTGCCTCATATATAGATTTTGAAGCTTGAATTTAATAGATTAGACATATACCCTGAAGTATTTACAGGTAAAATGATAAAATGTCTGGGATTTGCTTTCAAACATTGCAGGAAAAAAAATTAGAAAACGTAGAAAAAAAAGAGTTGGAGAGGGGTGGGAGAAACTAAAAATGTCAGAAACTTGAAGGTTTCTGAAGCTAAGTGGTAAGTACTTAGTGTTCATGTTTACTCTTCTACATGCTTTTACGTGTGTTTAAAATTTTCCATAATGAAATGTTTAAGGCCACACTAAAGAGTGTGAACTTTTCTCTGTGGCTCCCTGAACCTGTGAAGAGTTTTGGCCCGAGGAAGGGAATGGGAAGGGCTATGAGACCTTAAAAAGCTTAACCTATGATAGTACCAGGAGGAGAAAGATCAGACCTTGATGAAAGTGGTGGCTATGAGAATAGAAACTTTTTAAAGAACTTATAGAGGATATAACTGCAAAAGAGGTACTCTGGTGGTTTGGTAGTACAGAAGTGAAACAGATGCTGAACCAGAAAATTCCCTTCTTCCTCTTTAGTCAATAGCAATTATTGTCCTGGAACCAGTATACTGGGGACTGTAAGGACAAGGAGGAGAGGGAGAAGGGATCTTCACTGTGGAGGAACTGAACCAAGTCTTTGTACTAGATGAAGTGGAAACCAGTGGAGAAATCAAGAGTCCTGGGCTGATGTTTTGTTTTTCCATGAGTAATTTCTGTCTTGTAGTTTCATTATAAAATTCATGGGTAAAATGGTTTGATCGTCTGTCTCTATTTTCACTGGGGAAATGGGAAAAATATTGTTAATGATACAAATCACTTTTATTAGTCAAGATTGAATTATGTTGTTCATTTATGAAATTGAACACTTTAAAGAATATTTGTCTTTAATCCCTAGTACCACCAAAAAAATAAAAAAAGAGAAAGAGAATATCTGAGGAGTTAATTAAATGAGTTTATTTATTTATTTTTAATATTTATTTATGTATTTTTTTAGTTTTAGGTGGACACATTATTTTGTTTTTATGTGGTGCTGAGGATCAAACCCAGTGCCTCATGCATGCTAGGCGAGCATTCTACCACTGAGCCACAACCCCAGCCCCAATTAAATGAGTTTAAATGACAAGATCTGGGAAAACAAAACTTTGAGCTATAGCAAATTAATGAAATTTTAAATTTATGTAGCTTCTGATTTATCAATGGCAAAAATATTAAAAATAAACTCTAGATCCAATAGAAAGTCGCAGTTGGTAGAGATTAGAGAGAAACAGTAGTTTTCCACCCCTCTGTAGTCAAAGATAACTAGTACATCACATACAAACTATTAATAAGGTATGACATAACAAGACCAAGAGATGCCCCAGCGAGAAGTTTCTTGATCACCTTTGCTGCCTTCTTGATTCTTATTTTTCAAGAGATTCCACTTTTAACTGCAGGCTATAAGAATAGACCATTTCTATGATTAATGCCGTGTCATTTTCTGTCTCAGTGTAACACACCATCTACAAAGGACTGAAGCTAAGGTCAGGGAACAGAGATAAGACCTGCTGTATCTAGTGAGAGGGAAAGCAGTATTGGAACACACCACATTCTTTAGCCTTACTACTTTGGAGATTCCCTGGCAGGACTTATTCCCTTAACCCAAGCTGTCATCTACCACCCCTATGCTTATGCAGTCAGAAAGAAATGAGATTTTGGTCAGATTTGCTGCTGGATTTGGGACTCAATTAAAATCGAACTTCTAATTCATGGTAGCCGTTAGCTTTTTAGCTCTCAGGAAAGTAAAAAGAGAAGACGGCAATTTCTAGCTAAAAGCAAGAGAGGTGGTTTCTATTTTACTCAGGAACTCATGGCTATGCCGCTGGGTCACAGGAGGACTGAGGATAGAGGGACACATAGTTGTAAGTCTTATTATGGAGAAGGCTGAACTGTCATCAGTGCCTGATGGAAATGAGAGTGGGGAGGCGGCAGCAGTGTCTCTAACAGCACTGCCTCCCTTATTGCATTGTCAGAAGAGAAAGATAACCTGAGAATAGGCATCCATTATCTCTTTCTACAAAGGGATTAGTGTGGGTTGCAAGAAATTAATGGCTTTTGAGTTACCACAGAATTACTAATGAATGTCAGGACCAGAGATGTAAAGCAGATAAAATAGGCTTTTCTCTGCCTTATTTCTCTCCTTTCTCTTTTGGTTTGCTATGTTAAGATCAAGATCTTACTCTTTCTTTCTATAGTCAAAAGCAAAAATTTTATCCTCTGGGTGTATGACTTGCGTTCTTTAGGGAATGATTCAATTAGTTTTTGACTGTCTCCAGTGTGTGTTGGCACAGATTGAAAAACATCTCAGAAATTAAAACCTTGACCAGGGAGGAGTGCTTCCTTTTGCATGGCTGTCATTGTCATGTCTGATTAAAGTCTCATGTGGTTCCTCAATTGACAGTCCCCTTTTACTAAAGTATTAAACTGGAATATATTGCCACTCATCAGGGATTATAGGTGGCTTGATTAGATAAACACATGAAATGGAAATGGAGAAAAGAGGAAGGCAAGAGAACTAGACATACTATGCACTGGACATTGTGCTAGAAGCTTGATTTGTAATTCAACAAGTACTTATGAAACACCTACTAAGTACCAGGCATAGTATTGCATGCTATCGCATAAGAACGAAAAGAGAGCCAGGTGTGGTGGTGTGTGCCTGTAATCCCAGTGGCTCCAGAGGCTGAGGCAGGAGGATCTAGAGTTCAAAGCCAGCCTCAGCAAAAGAGAGGCACTTAGCAACTCCATGAGACCCTGTCTCTAAATAAAATACAAAATAGGGCTGGGGATGTGGCTCAGTGGTGTCTCTGAGTTCAATCCCTGGTAACCTGCCTCCTCACCAAAAAATGAAGAGAGCTTACTATGCAGTAGGGAAGGCAGACTTTTTTAAAAAACAAACTTTAAAATGTATTTTTTTTGTTTGGGTATTTAATTAAACTATTATAATGCAGCCTGTTAAAAGCCTATGAAAGAGGAACATAACTGACCCAGGGAGAAGTGTGTTCACATGAGGTGGGGGAGGGGCTGAGAGCTGGACAGACTGTCTTTCTGAAGGAAGGTAAATTTGTAGTCTCTGGTTGAGGCAGTGGAAAGGAGCATTGCAAGCTAAGGGAGCAGCAGCATAAGCACATTGAGGCTCCGAGAGAAAACTGCATGTAAGCAGAAGCCTAAAAAATGAACTGAAGGGGCTTACCAGAGAGAGGCCCATGAACTGGCCTTGGGGACTAGTGGGTACTCTGACAAATGGGAATTTGTGAGCAGTACACTTCACTGCTTTTTTTCATTGACCCTTCCTGGCATCATGAACTTAAGGAAGGATAAGAGAATCAGCAGGAATTCATTCACATGGCAGGTTTTCTCTTATGTATTTAATACTCTGTAGACTGTTACCTAGAAAGCAAGGAATCCCAAAAGAGTGTGATTGGTCCTAGGCCTACAGGGTATATTAAATCACACTTTTTCCAGTATTGCTGTTTTCTGCACAGACTTCGTCATATCACATTCATATCATATACCCCACTACTTACTTTTATACTCTCTCACCAAGGTAGTTCAGTTTTTAGATAAGAGATTTTTCCCCAGCTACATTTTGCCCATTAGATACTATCCTGGAATTTTACCATTTATACTTGGTTTAATTTGAACCAGGAAGATATCAACCTTTGATCTGTTTGGTCTCTTGCACTCACCTTCTTATAACTAATCGATACTTTTATGCCTCCTTTTTTTTTCTTTCTAGAACACAAGCAGACATTCCCAAACATTCTGAAGAAGGGTTACCTGGAAATTAGAAAGGACCATGACAGTTACTGGCAAAGCTGTTACGCAGAACTGTCACCTTACAACTTATACTTCTATAGCCTCGACAGCAGTGGGAATCAAAACCCCTATGCCACGTACCAACTTTCCCACTTCCAGAGCATCTCTGTTTTGGGCAATCTTGAGGCCAGGATGGTAGACACTGTTCTCTATGACAACACTCAGCTACAGTTAAAGGCAGAGTCACCGTGGGAAGCTTTGGACTGGGGACAGAAGCTTTGGGAAGTAGTGCATGCTGCAGTGCCCAGTTACATGGGACGGCAGGATGAACTGGCAAACTCACCAGGGCTCGGCCATCATGTTGACTATACACAGAATCATTGTTTACAAGAGAAATCCAACGGGCTGCTACCACCGTCTCCTGTCTTGGATAGCTCCAAACAGTACCAAAACATCCTCAAATCAGGGACACTCTACAGACTAACTGTCCAAAACAACTGGAAGGCATTTACATTTGTGCTGAGCAAGGCCTACCTTATGGCTTTTCAGCCAGGCAAGCTAGATGAGGATCCCCTGCTGAGCTACAACGTGGATGTGTGTCTGGCTGTCCAGGTAGACAACCTGGATGGCTGTGATTCTTGCTTTCAAGTCATTTTCCCTCAAGATGTCCTCCGCCTCCGAGCTGAGACCCGGCAGAGGGCTCAGGAATGGATGGAGGCTCTGAAGACAGCTGCCAATGCAGCGAGGAGTTCAGAGCAAAACCTGCAAGTCACACTGAGGAGCAAACCCAAGGATCAGCTGGGTGGGCATGAACTCAGGAAGAACAAACGTCAGTCCGTGACCACCAGCTTCCTGAGCATTCTGACAACTTTATCTTTGGAACGAGGACTCACGGCTCAGAGTTTCAAATGTGCAGGTACAGAGCAAATTTTCAGCTTAAAGCTCATTAAAGAGCAATCTTGAGTCCTGCAATTGGAATTTATTTTTTAAACACCCTTAATAAGACAGTCATAGATATCGCCTGTTTACAAAAAGCATTTCTCCTGCAAGGAGTTTACTATGTTAAAAAAAAAAAAATCTGTCCATCTTCATACTACATTGATTAATAGAAACAGCTATGATATACCCCACTGAATCAAAATTATTTGGCTGAAGCCTAACCAGACTGGAATTTAGGCTTCCTAAGTAGGATGTGATTCCATTTCCTCTGCCTACTTGCATAAAGTCAGGGTGACTATAGCTGTCACAGATATTCTCATGAGAGACATTCAGTCCAAAGCTAAGTACTCACACTCCTTAGGCAAAGCAAATGTCCATAGTCAGGAACTGTCATTGATCATGACCTTGTCAAATCCTGTTAAAGTGGAATCTGGAAAGTCAGCCTTGACAGAAAATGTAGAAATAGCTAAAAGCAGGGTAGATGATTATTCAGCAGATGACTACTGAGTCACAATGGATCTGTGCCTCACCATGAGGAAGCCTAGGTTTTTGGAATTGCTGTGTAAGGGTGAGACACAAAGTGGAGTCCAAGGCCAATACTCTGTTATGTCTGAAAACATCAATACTGCTTCTCTCCTCTACTCCCTATTCTTCCTACTTCCCCCAAACCTAAAATGGAGGAGGGGTATTAAAAGTGAAATCAAAATTATTTCCTTTTTACTAACCCCACAATATTTGATAATAAATTTACTGTGAAGACAACTTTAATCGGAAGTCTTTTGGGGAAGGTTTTAACTCAAGTCTATTAGATTTAATAATGCTGTTTAAAAACGAGCAAGAAACTTACCTAAAGCTGAGACTACATTTAAAATTTTATTCTTGCTCCTGCTTTGAAAGCCAAATTATAACAAAATGAAAATCCACATTAAATATATATATATATATATATATATATATATTAGTTGTAGATGGGCAGCATGCCTTTGTTTATTTTTATGTGGTGCTAAGGATTGAACCCAGTGCCTCACATGTGCTAGGCAAGCACTTTGCCACTGAACTACAGCCCCAGTCTCAAAATCCACATTTTAAATATGGTTAGTTGTGATGATGGTCTTTTCTACTGAAGAATAGTTTACTTAAAGGGAGGGAGTAAGTGAATAATCCTTGCTTTGCCCCAAGGTCTTTAGTGATTGTGGAGCAGAAACATGCAGGGTGGGATTGGAGAGATGAGAAGCTCCAAGCTAGTTAAGAAGCCATACCAGGTATGTGCATGTATTTGCAGATATGACAGACCTTGGTTTTAGTCAGACAGCTTCTTGGAATTTTCTTTTTTTCTGGTATGGGGGATTGCACCCAGGAATACTCTACTACTGAGCTACATTCCCAGCTCTTTTTAGTTTTTATTTTGAGATAGGGTCTTGCAAAGTTTACCCAGGCTGGCCTCGAACTTGGGTCCTACTGCTTCAGCCTCCTGGAATCACAGTGTGTGCCACCACATCCAGCTTTGAAATCAGTTTTGAAATAGGAGACACCAGTTTTAATATAGTTTTTAAGAAATATATTGACATTTCAGTGTCTTCTTATTCTGGTGTATATAGTATATTTCAAAGTTCAGGCATTTGATGGTAATTTATTGTGTTTACTATGGACATCCTGGAGTTATGATACACTTCTGTGGCATTATATTACTGAGAGTCCACAAATCTGTTGGTTTCATGGAATAAGGGAGAACAGCCCAGCTTAGTTTTCAAGATAGAGACTGGCATATCTGAATCACAAATCCATATAGTAAAAGAGTGAAGAAAAGTCTCAGGTGCTACACGAAGGTTGTCACCTAGCTGTCACTTATTCACCTTCCTCTCAGAAGTTTGTATCCTGATGGAGTGTGCATTGCCGCCCCGTTCTGTACAGCAATATAGTGTTCTTAGCCATCAGAGGGAAGAGAAATGTCAGAGAGAGCCCACTGCATCCAGCAGTAGGAGAAATGAAAACAGGAAAAAGATAAAAGAGAAGTGAGAAGAGTCAGGGAAAGGGAAGCAAGGAGAAAAGAAGAAAGTATTATAGAATAAGCAGGAATGGATCTTTCTGGTAGCTCCTCTGGGTTCTGTGTGATAGGATGCTTCCCTTTGCTGTCTAAATTTGGTGCTCACTAAATTTGGCTGATTGTAGGGCAGTGGGAAAGGGTAGGGGAAGGGACTCAAGGGGGTAGGATGACAAGCCTGCAGTTCATTTACTCTGCTTTTACCTTCATGCTTTGGTTTGGAACTAATGGGGGTACGGGTATGTTTCTAACTTTGGAGAGAGGATAATGCTGATTTATATAGTAGGGCACATTCCAAAGCAAAAATTGATGTATTTCATTTAAATGTCACCTTTTCTATCAGAGAGTACTACATTCAGTTGCTTTGTGATACATGTGGCTTACTCGCCTGCTTTTCATTCTTGATGCTAGCATGTGGAATATTGGTTTCCAGACACAGGCAGGAGCACATTATCTCCTGTAGGGGGCAGAGTCTCAAAAGAAAAAGGCAAAAAAAAAAAAAAAAAAAAGAAAACTTGTGAAGCAGAGCTCTGGATGTTTTTTAAATTACTTGGGAGGCTGTTCATTATATCAAAGATTATTATAGCAGATGGAACAGTAAAAATTGACCTGTGTTTCTCAGAAACACAGTTAATTTAAACCAGCTGCTTCTGCCTTTTGTACCTTTATTGTCTAACTTAGCATCCTCATAAAAAGACACATTTAGTAAAAAGTAACATAGCATGTTTACCTTCTAAAACACCCAAAAGTTCAATATATTGGTTGTAGTGAATTTGGGCCTTATATACTAGTTTAAGGAGAAGTTAATTCACAGTATTACATGGCTTTAGTGTGTCTCTTTAAACTATAAGTTCATATATGTATACATGCATATGAAGTTCTTCCTCCTTTAAATAGTTTGGATGAATAAACTTTAAATGTGGAAGATTACACTGAGTAGCTCCTTATTATGTCATTGAGTTGCTATTCAGGGGAGCCACAAGCACTGGCTTTTAAGTCTATAAAACAGTACTGTTGGCCATAGTTCACTAAATTCTTTCTATAAGTGGAGACTTTTCTATATCCTTCTTTAAAATTTAAAGAGCCCCTGCAGAGAAAATGGACCACGACCATCCAAAAATGTCTGAGGTTATGGTTTTGAAAATATATGCTGATTGTAACTGTATCTTTCTTTGCATGTGCTTGGACTTTTGATAGTTATATTTGATAGTGTGTGATTACTCCATAACTTCCTTTCCAGCTCCTTGGCTGCCTGTGCTTGGGAAGCCCAACCACTGTGGTCTTGCTGTTCCTAAACTTACAGGGGTCCTGCCTGCTTCCAGGGCCTTTTCACTTGCTAGCCCTACTTCCTGAAATTTGAAAATTAAATTCTTCCATTCATTCTGTTATTTATTGTTTGCCCAGAATCTTGGGTGCACCCAGACATACAAGTTAGTATTGCAGGAAAGAAGATAAAAGTCCTTGTCCTCAGGAAACTTGCAGTCTGCTAGGAAACACAAGTTGTTTATCAAATAATTCCATCAGTGGCTGCCAAAAAGGCAGCTATGACAAGAGCCTTCTAAGTGGGGCCCACATATCAGAAAACTGTCAGAGGTGGTGTGAGGTAGAACTAAATTAAATCATAGACCTCCAATCAGTTTTAGCCCACAAAAAAACCAAAAAACAAAAAAACAGGCAGTTGATAAAGTTGAACTTAATGTTTCACCTTGAAGTCACAGAAGATTTTTGTACAGAGGAGCGCATACCAGAAATGATATTGAAGAACTGTTAATTTGGAAGTGCTTTAGTCCAACTTTTCAGGAACACCTCTGTAGCAGAAAATGAGGAATGTGTTTTCAGTAAAATTGCTGGTTAGAATTCAAAATTATAGTTGGCAACAGGGCATCTGTGATGTTTTAATAGTAATGCTAAAACAAATAATTATTTAGCTTTTTAAAATATTTAGGAAGGATGTACATGGTAAGTGGTTATAAGACTATTCCTAAATGCTGTAGAGATTGGATTATAAGGTAGCAACTGTGTTTTCTTTAGGAAGTTGATATGTGTACATACCTGTTACACTCAATAGAGACATGGTTTTCTTGGCAGTAGCACACACAGATGTTTTTCCTGTAATTTCTCAGCAATCAAGAAACCTAACAATTGAGTAGTACAATCAAAGAGCCCGGGGACTTGTTTATAGGTGTGACAAGAGTAGCAGAGCTCACCTTTGAAAGCATTCCTGTGTGACTGTTTTGTAATCTGGAGCTAAAACTGGATGACCCACTGTGGGGCAATGTTCCTGATTCTGAACTGAAGTTGTACATGTTAAGGAAGAAAACAGTGAGCCTCAGGGATCTCCTACACCATTTTCACAGTGTTAGTTTTTATGGTTTTACTCCTTTGGCTGCTGTTTAACCTCTTGGGACTGCTGTTGATAATTACATCTCTCTGGCATTAAGAGCTTTTTGCTTTCCTTTTTCTTACATCCAGCCCTTGGGAGGGGTAAACCCAAGGGGGGGAAAAGTTTTGCTGTGAATTCTTCAGCCATTTAGTGCAAATTCCTGTAATTACCGGCATTGTGTCTTCTCTGAATGGCACATAATACAGCAGAAGCCATTCCTAATTGAGACCTTACAGGAGGTACAAATCCCTTCTTTGTTCAGCCTGACAAATTAGTGCCAGAAAGTGGCAGGGTCCGAGTGGGAATCAAAGGCAAGAAACACAAAGATGGAACTTAAGGCTACAGTAATAACCCTCTCTTGTCCTGAAGGGAAAAAAAGTAATGACCAATGAAAAATGAAGTTTTTTTTTTGTTATAAATTCCCTTGACGTGACAGCACCTCAGGGCTGCTCTATTTATTTAGCAAAAGTGATTAAATAGCAATACAACAGGGCGGCCCCTTGTTTCCCTAGATGCCCCCCACCCCACAGACCCCTGCTGCCTTGGCTAATTG